ATGAGTTTATGAGTTTTGATGTACCGAAGAAGTTCGGAGTCCCGGATGAGATCGGGGACATGACGAGGAGTCTCGAAATGGTCGAGACGTCAAGATCGATATATTGGACGACTATATTCGGACATCAGAAAGGTTCCGAGTGATTCGGGTATTTTTCGGAGTACCAGAGAGTTACGGGAATACGTATTGGGCCTTATTGGGCCATACGGGAAAGAAGGAAAAGGGCCTCAAGGGTGGCTGCACCCCTCCCCTTGGTCTGGTCCGAATTGGACTAGGGAAGGGGAGGGGCCTTCCTTCCTTCTCCTTTTCCCTTCCTCTTTTCCTATTCCATATGGGAGGTGGAATCCTACTAGGACTAGGGAGTCGTAGTAGGACTCCACACTTGGCGCGCCCCGTCCTAGGCCGGCCTCCTCTTCCCTTGCTCCTTTATATACTGGGGCAGGGGGCACCCGAGAGACACAACAATTGATCTCTTGATCTCTTAGCCGTGTGTGGTGCCCCCCTCCACCATAATCCACCTCGGTCATATCGTAGCGGTGCTTAGGCGAAGCCCTGCATCGGTAGAACATCATCATCATCACCACACCGTCGTGCTGATGAAACTCTCCCTCAACACTCGGCTGGATCGGAGTTCGAGGGACGTCATCGGGCTGAACGTGTGCTGAACTCGGAGGTACCGTGCATTCGGTACTTGATCGGTCGGATCGTGAAGACGTATGACTACATCAACCGCGTTGTGATAATGCTTCCACTTTCGGTCTACGAGGGTACGTGGACAACACTTTCCCCTCTCGTTGCTATGCATCACCATGATCTTGCGTGTGCGTAGGAATTTTTTTGAAATTACTACGTTCCCCAAAACATGGGTCCCTTCTGGTCCATAAAAAACCACCATAAAGTTTCACGTGTTTGGACTCCATTTGCTATTGATTTTCTAAAATGCCAAAAAGAAAAAAAATAGCAACTGGCGCTTGGTACTAAGTTAATAGGTTAGTCCCAAAAAATGATATAAAACAGCATACAAATGGATATAAAAACATCTAATATTGATACTATAATAGCATGGAACAATAGAAAATATAGATACGTTGGAGACTTCATATGCGAACGTAGAGTCTATCACACACGATCATCACGAGGTGCTTCGAAACAACGAACTTTCACAACAGTGCATACTTAGTGAGAACACTTTTATTTTGAAATTAAGTGAAGGGATCATCTTATAATACTAACATTGTCCTAAGCAAAATAAGATGCATAAAAGATAAACATCATATGCAATCAATATGTGACATGATATGGCCATCATCAACTCGTGCTTTCAATCTGCATCTCCAAAGCACCGGCATGATCTCCATCATCACCAGAATGACACCATGATCTCCATCATTGTGTTATCATGTGGTTGTTTCCATAACTATTGCTTCTATGACTATTGCTAACTCATAACGATAAAGTAAAGCAATCACATGGCGTTTCAGGATTGACTTACATGTCATACAATAAATTAAAGACAACCATATGGCTCCTGTCAGTTGTCGTACTCATCGGCATGCAAGTCGTGAACCTATTAAAAAACATGATCATCTCATACATCAACTTATCACATCACATTTTGGCCATACCATATCACAACATGCCCAGCAAAAACAAGTTAGACATCCTCTACTTTGTTGTTGCGATTTTTACGTGGCTACTAGGGCAAACTATAAGAATTGTTCTTATCTACGCAAAACCACAACGGTGATATACAAGTTGCCTTTTAACCTTTTACAAGGACTGCCATTGTCAAATCAGATTCAACTAAAGTGGGAGAGACAAACACCCACAAAGCCACTTTTATGCCATACAAGTTGCATGTCAGTCAGTGGAGCCGGTCTGTTGTGCGAGGACAAGTAAGGTTGGCCTGACCTGCTTCATGCCACAATACTGCCGAATCCAAATAAGACAAAGGAAGTAAGAAATTTGAACATTAACACCCACAACTTATTTGTGGTCTACTCATGCATATACATCTACTCATAGATCTAGCTCTGATACCACTGTTGGGGAATGTTGCACTGATGAAGATGCATAGCAACGAGAGGGAAGTGTGTCTATGTACCCTTGTAGACCGAAAGTGTTAGCGTACGTAACACGGTTGATGTGTAGTTGTACTCGTCGCGATCCAATCACAATCTAATCGATCTAGTGCCGAATGTATGGCACCTCTAAGTTTAACACACGACGGATCGGCGCTGTCCTCCCCTCTTGATCCATCAAGCGAGGGAGAGGAGGTAGATGTGATATGAACCAACATGACAGCGTGGTGGTGGTGGTGGCAGCGGAATTCTGACAGGGCTTCGCCAAGCGCGTACCGGAGAATATGGAGGAGTAGAGAGAGAGAGAGAGACGGGCCAAGGGCCAAAGCATTGGTTGCCCCGTGCGCCTCCCGACTATATATAGTGGTGAGGGAGGGGCGTGCCAGCCCTAGCCCCTCCCAAGGCAGGGGGCGGCGGCCAAGGGGGGAGGAGTGCCCTCCAAGCCAAGTGGATGGCCCTCCTCCTTAGGGTTTCCTTTCCCCTAGGTTCATGGGCCAAGTAGGGGCCGGTGGGCCAGGGCACCCCCTACAGACCATGCTACTATACGGGACATGGTGGAACCCTCCGAGCACTTCCGGAACCCTCTCGAACCTTCCGGTGACTTCCCGGTACAATACCAAAAAACAGTCTTTTCCCATAACCCCGACAAGAACTTTCCATATATAAATCTTTACCTCCAGACCATTCTGGAGCTCCTCATGATGTCCTAGATCCCATCCGGGACACCAAACAACCTTTGGACTTTCCACTATTAATATCTCAATACTACCCTAGCACTACCGAACGTTAAGCGTGCGAACCTATGGGTTCGAGAATTATGTAGACATGACTGAGACTCCTCTCCGGTCAATAACCAATAGTTGGACCTGGATGCCTATATTGGTTCTGACATATTCAACAAAGATCTTTATCGGTTGAATCACAATGTCAAGAATTCAGTTAATCTGCTATACAATTCCCTTTGTCCGGTGATATGTTACTTTTCCGAGATTCGATCGTCGGTATCTCCATACCTAATTCAATCTCGTTACTGGCAAATCTCTTTACTCGTTCCGTAATACAAGATCCCGTGACTAAACTCATTAGTCGCATGCTCACAAGCTTCTTGTGATGTTGTATTACCGAGAGGGCCCAGAGATATCTCTCCGTCACACGGAGCGACAAGTCCCAGTCTCGATCCATGCAACCTAACAAACACCTTCGGAGATACCTATAGAGCACTTTTATGATCACCAAGTTATGAAGTGACATTGGTAGCACATAAAGTATTCCTCCCGTATCCGGGAGTGGCATGATATCATGGTCTAAGGAACTGATACTTGACATAAAGAAAGTTGTAGCAAATAACTAAACGATCTGTTGCTAAGCTTACGGTTGGGTCTGTCCATCACACCATTCTCCTAATGATATGATCTCATTATCAAATGACAACTCATGTCTATGGTCAGGAAACCATAACCATCTTTGATCAGCGAGCGAGTTTAGTAGAGGCTTACTAGAGACACAGTGTAGTTTATGTATTCACACATGTATTTAAGTTTCTGGTCAATACAATTCTAGCATGAATAATAAACATTTATCATGAACGGGAAATATGATAATAACCATTTTATTATTGCCTCTAGGGCATATTTCCGACATTCTTCCACTTGCATTAGAGTCAATAATCTAGTTCACATTGCTATGTGATTAGCACCCAATGAGTTCTGAGGTTTGATCATGTTAACACCCAATCTCAATATGCAACTATGTCATCTCACCATCCCATGGTGCATGAGAAATAGACCCAACTTAACATGCACCATGCATGTTATTCATATTCAATAAATATTCCACAACTATATAATAATAAAATGCAATAAATTATATGTATTTTAGTTTCAATTCCCATATTGCGAATCCAAATACTAAACTTTTATACTACCAAATATGATAGAAGCAACTGCATCCATTCCCGCAACAACACCTGGGGTACTATCTCTAGTATTCAACAAAATGATGATGTCCGTAAGGGTCAAATAATTCAACGTTTTTTCTCCCACAAAAAAATCAAAGTTTATTTTGCATCAGATCATATAGTACTCCAGAATCAATTAGACATTAATCGTTGCAATTTAATCCAACATAAATATTTCTATTAATTTTCCTCCAAAAATCTTTTCACTAATTATATACGAATTATACCACGCGGCAATGCTCATTTGTGAACTAAAATATAGATCAGCGGATACAACCGAATATGGCAATGAATTTAGTGGTTGTATCTGCTTCTACTAAAATATGGATGGACGAAGTAAATGGAATAGATCTATGCACTTAAATCGAACATGATATTTCAGCGGCGGCCCAAGGGTACTTCTTCTCTGGTTTAAATCCAGGCCGTTCATGTAATGCGGATGAGCAAATGACTACTTTGAATGTAATGAATTCAAACCAGTGAATGTTAGATTTTTAAGCATGGCAAAACGAATGTTTTTTTATGGCAAACTATGTTCTTGTGAAGATGGCAATTTTCTTTAACAAGAATGACAAATCCGCAAAATTATGTTGCCACGAGGAAGGAAGGCAATTTCCTCCATATAAATTATCATAAAAAATAGTTCATTTTGTCATGCTTAAAAAATCTTAGGTCATATTTTTGATATTTCTCAATTCGTTTGGAGCATTTAATTGGCATTGAATAATGGCCCAACTATTTCCCAGCGATGCCAATTAATATGATCTTTAAAAATGATCTTTAAGGTTCTCTCTGCCCCTCCGCTCCCTGGCGCGTGGGCCCCGCGTGTCCGTCGTGCCGGCGGCCTCCTGGTATATATAGGGGCGCCCAACCTCGCAACTGTCAAACACCCCACCGATCTTCTCCTCTCTCTCTCTCTCTCTCGGCAGAACGACAAACACAGAAAAGAGGAAGCAGAGCAGATGACCGCCGAGAAAGGGAAGACGAGAATGGCGGCGGAGGTGAGCTCCATCGCCAGGATGCTCCGCGGGGAGGCGGGGAATGGTAGGGGCGGCGCCGCGAAGCCGTCGGAGATGGTGACCATGGATCTGCTCGGCGGGTGCGGCGGCGACGCCGGCGTGGAGGATGACGTCGTCGACCTAGAGGTCAAGGTGCCCGCCGGCTGGGAGAGACGGCTCGACCTGCTGGTGAGTCTCCCTCCTATTATTGTTTCGATCTGCTCCTCTGTTCTTCCGATCTTTAGTTGTTCGTGTGGTTTGTTACACCCGCGTGCGCGCATGTTTGGTGCTTAATTAATTCGCGCTCGTGTTGTTTCTGTGCGAGTATGTAATTTGCTAGTAGGTTAGATTATGTCCGCGGATCAAACGCATGTTGTTTGATTGATTTAACTGCATGATGATCAAAATTTTGGTTTTGTTGCACTGGGATTACAGAGTTCTGTGTTCTTCGTGTTCATCATACAGATTACTTAACAAGGTGAAATAATTCTTGTTTTTGTGCAGTCCGGCAAGACGTTCTTGACTCCTAATCGCCACCAGGCCATCCAAGACGGCCGCCAGGACCTCAACCTGCCTCCCACGGCATCCACCGCCGCCGTTGCCGTCACCACCAACTCCTCCGCGTTCTGCACCCTCGATATGGTCCGCTGCGCCCTAGAGCGCGCCGCCGCCGCGCGGTCCGCCACCTCGCCGGACACGTCGTCCTCCTCGTTGGCGTCCACCTCATCCTCGTCCTCCTCGCTGGGAAAGCGCAGCCGCTCGCCGCCTTCAAGCACGGCGTCGCCCGCCGCGAACCAGGCCATGCGCGCGTGCGCCTGCCCGTCCTGCTTCACGTACGTGCTCATCGCCGAGGCCGACCCCTGGTGCCCGCGGTGCGCATCGAAGGTGCCGCCGCTCCCCAGTAAGCCCGCCGCCCACAGCAGCGGGAAGAAGCCTAGGTTTGACCTGAATGCTGACGCCGATGAGACCGAGTGAACGGGAAAAGATGATAGACATTTGGGTTTTTTTTCCTTTCTGGAAAAGTTTTTTCCAGTCATTAGTTTGTTACTTAGAATATGTCATCAGGAGCAGTTACATGTTCAGAAAATTATGATCATAATTCGTAGGGACAAAAGATGAAAGACAAATGAATTTTTTTTTCTTGTTGGAAAAGTTTTTCATGTCATCAATTGGTTGGGGAAGCGGAAGGAGCCCCGCCGGCTGACGACGCTACAATGTTCTTCTTCACGGCCGCCGTGGCGGAGAAGCACATCGGCTTGGCCATGAGCTCCCCGTCCTTACCTACTTCAGTGAATCATTTGTTGCATCTGCACCTCTATCAGGTCCGCCCATTGCACTGGCGGCGATGCCGCCCCAAATCCGGCCTGCCCCCAGTGCTTCTTTACGCTCTGTTGTTTAAGAAACTTCACACACCTAGGAATCTCAATCAAGACTTTTTTGCTTGCAAAGGCCATAAAAGCGATGTATATGTATAACACAAATCCTTTTATGTTTATAATTTGGTATGCGAATCCCGTTGCTCACTACATTACACACACGCAGAGATGATTTGTTTGCAGCACATATATATGGGTTGGTCTTGTCAAGTTTTATGTAAAACAGATGATAATCTACTACTGTCGATTACTGAGAGAGAAGTAGATGGTGCGTTGATGGATGCACACGAGAAGCAAGTCCAAATCAACGAGATGCAAGCCCAAATCATCGAGAAGCAAGCCCAAAGAAAGAAACTTTAAAAAGCTTTACCTTGCACTTTGAGTTGTTGTAATCATTTAGTTCATACTCCCTGGATCAACAGTAACAATTCTTTTTATGGAAGTCATTGCACTAATGATGTTCTTACTTTAGGCGCCAATGAGTCGAGTTAACTAGAACGTATTTTCTTAATATGTTTTATCTTAATGCTTGACCTAGTTTGATGTAGATGTAGTGTTAATATACTAAGCACTGAGTTGTTCAATTATGCTATGTACGATGTTAACTTGGTACATAAATTGAATTATGTGATGAACTAGTTTTAATATGTGTTTCAAATGAGTTTGTGTACAAATTTTTATTTGAATTCTTTTTAGGTATGTAAGTTTAGAGGATCTTCTAGAAGAAACGTTTAATTCCCTAAAATTTAAGAAAATGAGATAACTGCTACCTTTGAACTTTTAGGACATGGGATCTTCTAGAGTTGCTCTTATGTCCTCAATCCTAGACGCCACCCTTCATATATAATCGCTCATGTCCTCTCCACCGCTTTGGAACAGTAGGTGTAGGGGAGAGAATTCTTGTCTCCCGCTGGCAGGTGGCCTTTTGTCTCGTCGTTGCCAGGAGCTTGAGACCATTGGTTTCTGCATGTTTCATGGATTATGTGTTTTTTTGTTCGTTTGTGTAACATTGTGGGCATTGTCTTCTTTAACAACCCTACATTTGAGTATTTGGGAGCAAGTTCTTCGCCTTGCTCTAGCAATAATAGTGTGCGTGTTAGACTAGACAAGCAAGACTAATCATTTAGTTCACACCATGTAAACCTCAACAAGAAGCAAAGACCATTTCATGTGCTCCCTGTGGGATCGATACTCTTACTTCGAAAAGGCCACAATTGTACTTTGTGCATTTACAGATTACCAGTTATGGTTTATTTGATGTATTTGTAGCGGTGATGTTGATCATGTGATGAATTATCTCTTTATGTTTGGATTTGTAATGCCATATGTTTGATACATAGATGCATAATCTTTCCGATTGCTTGTCCACTCTTGGCTAGTTTAGATCGGTAATGAATAGTAGAAGTGATGTGCATTAGTTGGGTTTAATAATGCAAGTAATCTACTGCAGTGACAGAATGTGCAAAATGATTGTACCGGATTGTCGTCACTGAGGGTTAAGGTTTACTAGAGGACCAATAGTTCCCTATTCATAATATTATATCACCTTGCTAAATGCAATTACTTGTATTTACACTTAATGTCCATATGGCGCAGGGAGGGTCTCGATCTATGGACGGGTTATTTAGCTACTTGATGTAGGGAGGATCTTGGTTTAGTAGTATTTGAACATACTGCCTATATATATGATCTTAAACATTCATTAACTTGGCATGAGCTAGAGATATTTCATTGTGCAGTTTTCCACATGATAATGTTTCTTCATCGCATTTTTATGCTTTTGAGAGTTGACCCTATGAACCCCGGTCCAATTTTGAGCATAAGAATCACCTTCTAACAACATTTACACTTTGTTTTATTCCAAAAATACCAATAATATTTATCACATGTTATCTTTTATTAGCCTTGCAACTAGCAAGACTAGCAAGGTTGACACCCCTGTTAGAACTATTAGAGAAACAAGTGAAGTTTCATTTTTGTTGCGCAACATTCAACTATTGCGGGGTACCAGTACCTCCATGGAAAGTATACCTTGATTTCTCATTGAGAAAATTTTGATGCATATTGCAAACTCCTACACTAGGGAGCCCAACCGGTGATTTTATCCTCGGTAGCAGTGGTTGTGCTTGACGGTGATCTTACAGATTTTACCAGTCATCAAGGGTGGCACACGAACTCGGGTGGTCAATATTGCGGTTATGAATTCACGTCTCTGGAATTCTATAGTAGGCTTTCACCTTCGTATTATCATGTGCTTTCCTCTATTCAAGCATGATGAAGTGGCTACCTCTGTGGATTAGATTCTCTGTGTGACTGCACCAAAACTTGAGTTCGGCAACAGCGCGGCGACAGGCAGTACTCCAAAGTTGGGGAAGACGAGGTGGAGCTTTCGAGAGAGGAGAGCGGTGTCTACGTCGGGCCTGAAGAAGCTTGGGGTCGGTGGCGGCGGAGTGTGCTTGAGTGAGGACGGGAGGAGGGGAGTCGGCGGCAGGGCTTCTAGCGCGAGAGGAGAGGGTAGCATACATAAATTTGAGTTGGGCCGGGGAGGTTGAGCTGTGTTGGGCTGGGGAAATGGGCCTGTCGAGATCTAGGAGTTACTGGTTTCATGTTTTGTGTCCTTTTTATGAGGGACCGATGTGTTGATAATGGTAAGTTCTTCATGCAAAAGAAAAAACTTGTATTTTCATATGAAAGAAAAAAACTTGTCAGAAAAAATGATAGGTTTCTTTTGCGCGTAAGTACAGTGATAAGTTTAATGCAAAAATATAATCATCTACTTTTTCATCAAAATACAAGTTTTTACTTTCTGAAGATTAAAGAAACAAATTTAAAATTGTAGAAATACGTTGTTTTCTGCTAGATACAGAAGTTTCCTTATAAAACGGGTATATATCTAAAAACATATATGGAAAAAGAAGTTGATGGGATGGCGACGGGTGTAAGTAACGCGTACCTGCAGGATAAGCAATGATGCGTACGCGTATTCAACCGGGAACAGCTACGTGCAACCGTATCTACGTCCATGAAATATACACTCGCTGCTCCTCCAGGAGAATATCTTCTCCCGTCCTTCTTTCTTTCTTTCCTGAACGAAGAAAATACATAAAAGATCGACAGGCATGGCCATTGAAGGAACGCTAGCGCGCTCGCATCCACTGCATTGAATCCACTTCCACGTATACGTCTTGAGCATAAATGTCAACCGGGAACCAACCCTGCATTGATTCACGGAGAACCATTGATTGCGCGGGGCTTGTTTCTGAAGACTCCATCAAGCTTTTTCCCCTGCCCAACCTGCTCTTCTCTTCTCTTCTCTTCTCTTCTCTTTCTCCTGGAGTGATAATCCTCAACCCTGCCTTTACCTATCCACGCACAGTACACGTCCTGTCAATTTGCGGCGAGACACCACAGGACACGGGTGCATGCATGGTGGCTACTACTAGCTTCGAGGGGGTTTAGTCGACGAGAGGAATTGTGTGGGGTTGCATGCAGCCAGTACTATCAGTCTATCACTGTCACATACAGATACAGAGATGCAAGTGTGAGCAGTAGTAACCATTAGTGCTAACTCGCTTTTGGTCTGAACTTCTCATTCGCTGCCAACTGCTCTGCCCTTGCAAATATGGTGCAGCGGCTACAGTAGCTTTTGTACCTTGAAGTTTTGATACTGTATGGAACGGGGGGGATAGTAGTGAGTAGCAGTACGTACGTGCCGCCGTCGAGTTACTCCTACGTCGGTCGGACTTTATAGACTGGCTGACCCATGAATGGACAAGTAGTTGGGTGCAGAGAGAAGAGCAGAAGAAAGTCCAGGCGCTGTACGCACTGTTCATTGATCGCTGCCTTAACTACCCCGAGAAAATAATGGTCCAAATCTCTATGGGTGTGTTTGGTTCCTTGGGTCGCACCTGCATCGCACTCACCATGCAATTTTCACTGCATTTGGTAGACTGCACGTCTCATTGGGCCAGGCCTGGCGGATGCAAAATCAGGCTCCCAGCCAGGCTGAGGGGAAACACAGGGATCGACCGCTTCCGCGAGCCAGGCCCGCGCGTGCAGAGTCGCGAGCTACGTCTCCTCTTCCGGTCGTCTCAACTCGCATTTCCCCCGTTTCCCCTGCCGCTATCTTCTCTGGTGCCACGCCGCATCTCCTCGTCGGTGCCGAGGCAAAGCTCTCCTTCTCCCTTTCCCCTCTCTTTCTTCCCGAGCTCTGGCCCCTCCCTCCCGTTCCCAGCTATATTGGCGACTTGCTCGCCGTCGCTCGCGGCCGCCCGCCTGATCTGACCGTGATAGCAAGCAGGGGACTCCGGCGGCACGTACACCACCTGCGCGCGCACCGGCCGGGCGTTCGCGGCCGCCCGCACGATCCCGCGTGTGAGCAAGCACGGACCCGCGTGCTGTGCCCTTGTTGACGGGGAACTGGGGAAGGCCTGGCCGTGGTAGATTTGCCGGACCTTGAGCTTGAGCTGCTGTACCAGTGTGCGCAGTGTTATGCTGCTAATCCCCGACTCCTTGCCAAGCCTACCTTCCAAATATCTAACATGACAGGTTTCCGTCATTGAAGTTTCAGACCAGTGCTCTTTCATAATGAGATAATAT